ATATTTTGGGTTTACTCATTGTCCTGATATTTGCCCGGAAGAATTGGATAAAATGTCAACGGTTACAGAAAATATCAGTAAGTAATGAAACTTTTATTACAAAATTTATCTGAAATATGAAATATTACAATTTTCTAAATATATATTGTTAACAGATAGTGATCCAAAATTCGGAAAAATCATGATACCAATTTTCATATCATGTGATCCACACCGAGATACGTATGAAGTTATCAAAGAATATTTAAAGGGCAAGTATAACTTTAAATGACATGTTATGTATAATTGTTCTATCTATGTTATCTATATGTTATCTATATCTTATCTATATCTAAATTTTTTTGTATTCATTTCAGATTTCCACAAAGATATGATAGGACTCACTGGTACATACGAACAAATAGCAAAAGTTGCAAAAAGTTATCGAGTTTATTTCAGTCGTCCACCTAAGGTAAAGCCTGGTGACGAATATTTAGTAGATCATTCAATATTTTTTTATTTAATGGATCCGAATGGTCAATTTGTTGACGCTTATGGAAAAAATACTACCGCTGATAGTGTTACGGATAGTGTTAAAGGACATATTAAAAATTTTATTGATAGGGGTGGCGTAATTAAGAAATTGGAGAGTTAATATTGCAAAAGTACAGTATTTGTACACTTTTGACAAGTAATTGAAAGCATGTAAAGTGGTATATTGTCATACGTATTATGGAACTTTATCTTAGTTATTACGTTTCTCAATTTTAAATTCACCATAAAAATAATCACGTGTACGTCATGGGTGCATGGAACTTTAGTTCACGTTTATTTCACGCGATTCTGGAAAAGCCCATTAATTAATTCACTATAAATCTATGAAAAAATGAGATTTGGATATAGTTTTTAATATACGTACATGTAAGTAAAGATCATAAACTACCACTTATTTTAGTACGTACTTAATTGTAAAAAAGTATCGATATACGTATAAAACACTATTTTTTGGGCAATTGGCTGATATAATCTATGATAATCTTAGTTATATTATCTTACTGGATTTATTGTCATTCAACCATTACGCGATCTCTAATGGGTGCCCTCGCAAGACAGCTGGCCATCGTGGGCCATTTACAGCCTAGTCCCACCCTAGATCGGCTTGTCAGATTCTTCAACCATGTGCCGAGTCTTGACAAAGTTTTAATGGTAGGTTTACGTGTTAACCTTAATCACTATGAAAACTAATTTCCACAATTCTTAAAGAGATGCTTCTTTTCTTTATACATATAGCTGGTACAATACTTTTCTATAGTCCTGACATGGTTTTTTTCACGTTCTGGCAGGACCTCCTTGGCTGAACGCATCAATAGCCTAGGAGTCCCGGTAGCCGATATTAGGATTTTGTTAAGGTGAGCTTTTTAACAGGCTTTTTTTACTGTCCTTACCCACAAACAAAGAAGTAGGATAGGCATTATTCTCATTCGATCCATATATAGAATAATTAAACTTCAAGATAATGCATCTTTCTTTAGGAAAATAATATTAATTATAAATTTCGATATTATTAACGAAAATTCATTTTTTAATAGATTCTTTGGGCTTCTGCCCTTGATAC